GATAGATGTGACAACACCACTTGTATCCCTTCTTTCCGCCTTAAACACAGAAGAGATGTTTATGAAGGTATCATTATTGTCCATTTTACAGATGAGGAAACCAAGGCATGGAAATATCAGCTTACCCATGGTGATACAGCTGTGTCAGTCAGCATTTGAATCAAGAGAATCTGGCCCCAACACATTAAGATGACAAGGCAGGAAAGGAGCCCAAGATCCTGATGGCCATCACTGAAGAGCTGAACCTAGGTCAGCAACTGTCCATCTCCAGATTTCTTATGACAAACTCCAATTTGGTTAGAATACTTTTGAATGGACATTCTGTTACTTGCAGTCAAAAACAGCTCTGGATTTTTTCTTTGACTAGACTCTCAGAAGTGGTTTTGAATGAAAAGTTATGATTACTCTATAGGCTTTTGGTATATATTACAAACTACTTTCTCTCAAAGAATTGTTCTAATTTACCACTTCTGCTAGTATTTGGTATTGCTGGTTAGAGTCAGAGAGGGTCCCAAAGTAAGGATAACTCTAGCACGCAATCAGTAAGCTGGTGGAAGAGAGTTAATTAAGAAGGCCAGACTGTAACTTCTCTTCTGGAGGATTTTCAAAGTAATCCTTGCCTTGGTTTAAGGTGCATTCCTCTTCCAATTTTAGAGAAAAGTCACAAGATGAATTTCAAGTTATCTTTATTCTCTACCTCAAATGAGGTTATTTTTTCTTTCAGAATGATTGAAGTAAAACCATGTACACTGTAAAAGATTCAGAAAGCAACGCAGAAAGAAGAACAAAAAACCCACATGATCCCAACACACAAAGAAAACCCTATTTAATATCTTGGCATATCTCCTCTTAGGATTTTATTAATTGCCATTTTCTTACACGTGTGGTTGGATTATACTATCAATACTTTTGTATTTTGTTTTTTTCATTTACAATAAACATTTATAATAAATTGTAAATATTTTAATGGCTGTATAATATTCTATCACTGGATAAGTCACAGTTGATTGAACTATTTCCATATTGAGACTGGACTGAAAAAACGAGAACAGAATCTGCAAAAGGAAATAACTACCCTGTAAGAAAAGCCCTATGCAAAATATAAGCATATGCTATTTATTTATTTATTTATTTATTTTTTATTGTACTTCAGGTGAAGGCTTACAGAACAAAATAGTTTCTCATTTAACAGTTACTACAAATGTTGCCCTATGACAATGGTTAACAATCTCACAACACATCAACAATATCCTTACTCAACCTTGGGTTCCCTATCACCAGCTTCCTTGTCCCCTTCTGCCTTCTGGCCCTTGTCACTGGACTCCTGTACCTCATTAGTCTCATTTGGTTTTACCGGGCTGTCCACTCCCAGGCTGAACAGTGAACCTCGGAGGTAACTTCACCACTGAGCTGAAAGGGTGTCTGGGGGCCATACTCTCGAGGCTTCTCCAGTCTCCTTTAGGCCAGTAAATCTGGTCTCTTTTTTTTTTTTTTTGTGAGTTAGAATTATGCTCTACATCCTTCTCCAGCTCTGTCCAGAACCCTCTGTTGTGATCCTGGTCAGAGCAGTCAGTGGTGGTAGCCGGGCACCATCTAGGTGTACTGGACTCAGTCCGGTGGAGGCCTTGGTAGTTGTGGACAATTAGTCCTTTGGACTAATCTTTTCCTTGTATCCTGTTCTCTTCATTCTCCCTTGCTCCCGAAGGGATGAGACCAGTGGAGTATCTTAGATGGCCGCTCACAGGCTTTTAAGACCCCAGACACTACTCACCAAGGTAGAATGTAGAGCATTGTCTTTATAAGCTATGTCGTAACAATTGAGCTAGATGTTCCCCAAGACCATGGTCCCCAGAGCCCTCCGCCCAGCAACTCAGTCCCTCGGGGAGTTTGGATGTGTCTATGGGGCTTCCATGACCTTTCCTTGTACAGGTTGTGTTAGTTTCCCCTGTACTGTGTACTGTCTCACCTTTCACCCAAGATACCACTTCTCTATTGCCTATTTAGTATTTCCCCCCCAACCCCTCCCATCCCTGGTAACCAGCAAAGATTGTTACATTTTGCGTGTGAACTTTTTCATGGGTTTTTACAACAGAGGTCTTATACAATATTTGTCCTTTTGTGATTGACTTATTTCACTCAGCATAATGTCCTCCAGTTTCATCCATGTTATGAGATGCTTCACAGATTCATTGTTGTTCTTTCTCATTGCATAGTACTCCATCGTGTGTATGTACCATAGTTTGTTTTTCCATTCATCTGTTGATGGGCACCTACGTTGTTTCCATCGTTTTGCTATTGTGAACAATGCTGCCATGAACACAGGTGTGCACAGCATATGCTATTTAAATAGTACACAATTAGCTGTGCTTTTGCTTGCATTTGTAAACACAGAGCAGACCCAAGAACGTACTAGGAGAGACAAGGTTATTTCCAAAGCTTTGAACTTGTAAAAGAGAAAAAGTTCCATGTGAGTGCCCTACCTTATTCATATTCAAAACATTTTTAAAATCTCTTAAGCTACATTTCAAAAACATGTAAGCAACAGTCCATTTTTAGCTTTATTTTCATACTATGAAAGGACATCACTTGGTAGAACTGTATCATCTATATACAGTTAAAAATGCATCTAAGCTAGTTTGAAGAACAGAGTACTCCAGCTGATTAAACATTCTGGTTAATACAAACCTGCAATGCAATACTCTATATAGATTATCAAACTTTCAAAGAATTAGAATATAAAGAAATATAAACAAGATTTATATTAACCATAACCTTTGAAAAATTCTGAACCATAAATTTTTATTATTCAGAAAATTATTTCCTACTGCTATCATCTTTATTACAAGTATCAGTTCCCTCTATGCTATAGACGTGGACTGGGGTTGCTAATACTAGGCGTTTCACCCTCCTGCCAGCTGAACTTCTCCTTCCTTGGGATGGCCCCAGCCCTATGGTTGTGCCTCTTTGACAGCTCCCTAAACTGACTTGTATTATACAATCATTTTGTAAGTCTATTTCTTTCATTGGACTGAAAGCTTCTATATGATACAAACCTTGTGTTTGCAATCCACACAGCATTTAGCAGAGTGTTTTGCACATGGTGGGCATTCAATATACATTTTTTTATTTTGAACTTGTTAAAAAGATGGATTGGAGGTGTAAAACATTCGTAGCAACTGTAATTGTTTCATTTTAAGAAAATTAAGGGAAAAATAAAAGTTAAATCGTTATCTAACCTTTGATAAGAAACTTACTGAATGCTCACTTTGTACACATACAATGCTAAGTGGTTCTAAACATTAGTTCTCACAACTCCTAAAACAATCAGTGAGGTAGGTGGTATTGTATTTACAGAGAGAAAACTGACAGTCAGGGATTAAATCATGAATTAAAATATTTACCAGGCACTGAACCAGGCATTGGCAATATAGCAGTAAATATACAAAACTCTCTGCCTTGAGTGGAGTTTATTTGCTAGGGGAACTTGCTTTATATAAAAGCTTGGACAATGTGAGTTCCTCCCTAAATCCATCCCTTCTCAGTGCTGATAAAATTTGAGACTGAAAAGCTGAAGCTCAGACCCTGGTGACTTCTTCAAGGTAAAGGTCACCCTTTGCTGGCAACATCCAACTTTGTGAGTATCTAATCTTCAAATTTGTAGTAAACTGAAAATACTCCCAAGAGACTGATAATATAATAAAATGAATCAAACAGAAATAAGACACTATGGAATTAAAGAAATAAAACAGAGTTAAGAATTTGCCTTCTTTAACAGGCTGGTTATCTATCTTGCATACAAACCTCAAGCTAGTTAAACGGTGAGGCTGTGGTAGAAGTCAGAACACAGAATGGACTTTGGCCTCTTGGTATCTAAGCAGAAGGGGGAAATCTAGGGGAAGAACAAAGCTTCCGAGCACTGTGACAATTCACACAGCAAAGGTATGGACTCCAGCTGCTACACCATTTTCAATTTTATTCCCCTACGTCTGGATTAGAAACTTGAGGAAACACCCATTTCAAACTCGCAAAAAGAAAAGGCAGCAGCTTTAGGGCTGAAATAACCAAATTTGCGTTGGACACTTGCTCTGAAGCACTGAAGCTGCTGGAGGTTGACAGTTCCTCTCACTAAAAAGAAAAAAAAAAAAAAAAACCTGATTCTGACTGACAGCGACCCTATAGGAAAGAGTAGAACCGCCCCATAGGGTTTCCAAGGCTGTAGTCTACAGAAGCAGACTGTCACATCTGTCTCCTGCGGAGCAGCTGGTGGGTTAGAAACGCTGATCTTCCAGTTAGCAGCTGAGCTTTTAACCACTGCACTACCAGGACTAGTACAATTTAATCACTAAATCTCAAGGTCTTCACAGCTATTCCTCAAACAGTGATCTGGGGCATCTTGGGGAAGGTCACAAAGTTTCATTCAAACAAAGCTGAAGATGAACTCAAAAAGTAAAAAGAAGAAACTGGAAAGGGAACAAGAAGTAACTTCATAAATAAACACGTGGCAGAGATAAAACCACTATTACAAAACTTTAAAAAAAAAATTGGTACAGAAGCTGCTTTCTAATTCTGACTAGGCAGAAAATTGCCTTTTAGTCTAATCTGAAGTAACATGCAAGCAATTTCCTCCTCTCCAGTCCTTGGAGAAGGACATCATGCATGGTAGAGGGTCAGAGAAGAAGGAAGACCCTCAACGAGATGGACTGACACAGTGGCTGCAACAATGGGCTCAAGCATAACGATTCTGAGGATGGCGCAGGACCGGGCAGTGTTTTGTTCTGTTGTAAATAGGGTCATGATGAGTCTTGACAGCACCTAACAACCACCACCACACCACAGTGTTATCTACAAAATCTGAGGCAAAAGGCACCAAACTATTTCCAAATGCAACAACTTGCATGCAGGGAGAGACTGACAATGGCTCTCATGTGCCCTGAAATCCATTCAAGCGTGCCTACAGAAGGAAGAACACACATCAGTCAGTACACTAAAAAGCACCTATCTGATATTAGAAACCGTTTTATTGAAACAAGGCAAGCAGTGGGCTAAAAATATTTTAAGGTAAAAGGAGGCTGCAGAAACCCATCTGATTTTTTTTTCCTCTATGAAAGAGGGAGCAGCTCAAATGATGAAGTAAAGACATTCCAAGATTACTATTTATAGTTAAGGCAATTTAAAAAGCAAGGACTTAACGAAAAAGTCTCTACATGGCATTGAAAAAATATTTAGATCTTTGAGATGAATTCAAAGAGCTAAAATTGTCTACCAAAAGTCTGTACAGCGGGGACCTGTTTTCAGCAGGTAAGCCTATTTACAAGTAAGAACCTCTTACTCTTGTAACATTGTCCATTTTTGTTTTAAAAGAATATACAATCCCATCCCTTGCAGAGTTAGTCCATAAGGCCTCTGTGATCCCACGGAAATATGTCCCTATCTCTACTAAAAAACTACTTACCCTGTGCTATAAATACATATACACATCTGCCTCCCCACTAGGGTGTGAGTGCCTTGAGTAAAGGGGTTATGGCTCATTCATTTTGTGTCTACAGAGACGCTTAGTAGGAACTCAATAACGTTTTTGCATGAATGCTAAATGGAAATGATTTTACAACACAGCTACTGTTTATGTTTCAAACATTCCCACCCTCACTGATCTTCAAAATAACACCACCACACTGCTACCAAGTTTACTATGGTTTTCAAAGTACAGTGCTTCTGGACTTTTTAATATAAACAAACATTCTTCATTTGAGTAATGACACATAATTCGCATTCTCCTTGAAATGGAAAGCTTGCTTGAAAGTTACTTCATTCTTTTTCTCTTTTTCAAAAGTGCATCTCGTAGTGCCAGCTGGAAGAAAAAAAAATTTAAACATAACTTTTAGCTATACCCTATTATGCTATTTTGGTTATTCAGAAGTTTATCAAAATGGAACTACTACGTCAACAAATCATCCTGAAAAATTACAAACAGTGATATATTCCTTAACAGATCAAATCTGTATCCAGGCTGGGAACTTCCTCATTGGTTGGAAATACACCAAAAGTTCTTCACTGCTCTTCCCACCCCTTGTGGACAATAGCTCAAAACAGAAGCAGCTACAGAATGCCCAGACTGAACATCACCTGTCTCCAGGCATAGTATCTGGTACTTCTCTGGCTTATACAACTCTTTAATAATTGGGGGTTGTGTGTGGGACACATTGTCTAAATTAAGCCAACAGAAAATAGATTTTTCTTCATGATTAACATCTCTACATTCTACTAAGTATGGGCACATATGGACCTTTTGAAAGTGTTTTTAATGGCATTCAGTATTTGTGCAGATTTGAGATAACTCTTACAACCTGGAACCAAGAAAAATATTCCCCTATTTGCAGATTTTCAAATGGGTTTGTTTAATGCAGTTAATGAACTAAGAAAATTTCTCAATAAATAAGTGCTAACACTTATCCTCTATAATGCCTTCAACATGAAGAAATTAACTTAGATACTGAAATCTTGACAGGTGTTGCTTAAGACAAAAATATTTATTCTAGTTAATATGAGCTCTAGTTTGTAACTTGTTATTTTGTTTTGGAAGTATATAAGAGGAAATGAAATCTAATTCTAATTGAACCAGATCCAAGCTTTAATCCCCTGTAGTCTTTTCTAACTACAGGAGCTGGCTTTCCCATGGTAGAAGTAGAAGGTAAAGATAATCTAGACAAAAAGAAAACTGGGGATCCAGTATTCGGAGTGAACCTATGAAAGCCCTTATAAACTTTTACATTTCCCCAAAGAAAATAAACAGAATATCAAATAAAAGAGTATAAAGAATAAACCCAAATTTAAAAAAAGAAAAAAAAAAGATAACCAAGGTTAATGTACACATCTTCTGCGTATGATGGGTATTATTCCATTAATTTGCAAACACCACTCTTTAATTCCCAGAAATATTTTAAGATTTCTAGCTTTTGTGTTTTAATAAGATGTGTAAAAATAAATTCTATTTTTTGGGTTTTTTTTTTTTTTTGCTTTGTTATAATTAGAGGCATTTTTGGGGTGAAGGCTGCCTAGCTGTAGATCTAAATGTTCAAACTTTTTGGATTTTATGACTTTAAGTTATTGACTCCTTATCTATAGCTCACACCTAAGTCTTGGTATGTCTTTGTAATTATGTGGAATAGCTGGGATACTTAAGGTAGGAAAAAACAAACAAACAAACTACAAAGTTCATTTTAACCTGATTTGCATGGCTAAGAAGGTATTTCTCAAACTCATCTGTCTCAGTTTTCTCATCTATAAAATTGGTTTAAACATAGTACCTGCTCATATTATTGTGTATCAATTAAACAAGCTAATAAATGGAAAGCTCTGGAATAGTCAAGCCACACAGTAAGAAATACATAAATATTAGGTAATATTGTTATGGAGTCCCTGGGTGCTGCAAATGGTTAATGCACTAGGGTGCTAACTGAAAGCTTGGAGGTTCCAGTCCATTCAGAGGCACTGTTACAGATTGAACTGCGTCCCTCAACAATATGTGCTGTAAATCCTAACTTCATACAAAAAAACAAAACCCCGTTGCTGTCAAGTCAATTCTAACTCACGGTGACCCTACGGGACAGAGTAGAACTGCCCCACAGAGTTTCCAAGGGGCACGTGGTGGATTCAAACTGCTGACCTTTTGGTTAGCGGCTGTAGCTCTTAAACACTACGCCACCAGGGTTTCCCCTAACCCCATACCTGTGGTTATAATCCCATTTGGGAATGGGTTTTGTTATGTTAACTGGACAGTACTAGTGTAGTGTGTGTCTTGAGTGAATTTCTTTTGAGATATAAAAGGAGAGCTTAAGCAAGGAAGAGAGGAAGCAGAGATGGGGGAAGATAGATGCCACACCACATGAAGATCACCAGAGAACCAAGGAACAAGCACCTTCCCCCAGAGCTGAGAGAGAGAGAGAGAGCGCCTTGCCCTAGAGCTGGTGCCCTGATTTCAGACTTCTAGCCTCCTAAACTGTGACAAAATAAATGTTTATTAAAGCCACCCACCTGTGGTATTTCTGTTACAGCAGCACTAGATAACTAATACACGTATCTCGAAAGGCCTGACAATCTACTTCCAAAAAATTAGTCACTGGAAACTCTGTGGAGAACAGTTCTACTCTGACACATACCGGGTCAGCTTGCATAGGAATCACTAAAGGCGAACTGGTGATACTGTTATAACCCAAGGTTACATGGATTACATTTTGCTCATTAAACTTTATAACAAAGCATAGGCTACTCTCACAACCATCTCAGTTCCCTTCTTCCTTGAATGTCACTATTTGAACGTACTTTCTCCCTTTTCTTTATCTTTCTAAAGGCTTCCCTGTAATAAGAGCCTTATGTATGTCCACGTTCGCACCAGTTAAGACTCTTTTATTTAAGACAGTTAAATATTACTGAGGAGTAGAGGGAGTATGAAATGTTATATTTCTTTCCCACAGAGTACACGCGATCACACCTGCCCAGACTGCCTCCAGAACTACAGTTTTAGGGATGCTCTATGGTTGTGCTGTCCAATATGGCAGCCACTAGCCACATGTAGCTATCGGGCGTCTGAAATGTGGCTACCTGAACTGAGATGCATAAGTATATACACAATGGATTTCAAAGAATTAAAGAAAAAAAGTAAAATATCTAATAATTTTTTATACTGATTACATGTGAAATGTTAATATTTGGGAGATCTTGGGTTAAATATATTATTAAAATTAATTTCACCTGTTTTCTTTTTACTTTTTAAAATATGGCTACTAGAAATTTTACCATTACAAATGTGGCTTGTATTACATTTCTATTGGACAGTGTTGGTCTAGAGTGAAGGAGAGAATGGAAAAAATCAGGAACCTAGACTTAAATTTTATGATGCAGAGACCCTGAAGAAAACCCAGGGCAAGGAAACATACACAGAAATTCTGATTAATTTCAGATTCCAAACGGCAAGAAAACTGGAGAACAAGTGCATATGTCCAATGAACTGTTAATTTACTTGAATAAAAAATTCCTTAATCTTTAAGAAGTTTTATGACTCAAGAGTTGCTGACAAGGAATAAAGCAGGGCTTTGTCCAAAAATTCTTATTGCATTAATTTTTATATTTCACAGATCAAATGTCAGAGAATTTTAGCATGGGAAGGGACCTTCACGATCATCTAACTTGATTCCCTTTACTGATGAAGAAGATGGACTTCCCTTTGGTCACACAGCTGGATCTCAACTAAGTCAGGTCTGGAATTTACATGTTCTGAATATTTCCTCCTCTCCATGCTCTCCAGTAAATACTCCCCATTGATTCCAAGATGAGGAGCCCTGGTAACACAGTGGTTAAGCATTCGGCTGCTAAGTGAAGGTCAGTGGTTCGAACTAACCAGGTGCTCTGCAGAAGAAAAGATGTAGCAGTCTGCTTCTGTAAAGATTACAGCCTTGGAACCCCTATGGGTCAGTTCTCCTCTGTCCTATAGGGCCGCTATGAGTCGGAATCAACTCAATGGCAACAGGGAATCCCAAGACACCCATATAATACAAAGTCTTCCGAAGACATGATTCCATCTCAAATGTAAAGCAGTCTTAGAATTCCAGCCACTCAAACTTCAAACTGAACTCACCTGCTTTTCTCTGAAGGAACGTTTATTTTTTGACCGGACATTCTGGCTATACCGCATCATCATAAAGTTCTTCTGTTTTTTCTTCTCTTTATTTGTGGAACTTGAAAATGGATTCATTTTGGTTTTCTTCCTCACAAATTCTTTTCGGTCTGTCTTTCCAGCCTATCAACACAAAAAGACAAAAGAGTGGTATTTTTTCTTAAACAACACACCTTGGAGAGCTGTCTAATCAACGTATCAGTCTACTCTGTGCCAGACACTTTACTTGATGCCAAGGACACAAAGAGGGATAGAACATAGTCCTTGTTCCCCAGCAATTCAGTACTATACCAGGCAGAAATGACTATGATGTATTATAATGGAGCCAGGAGAGGTCAGTGTAAGAAAAGGTCATAATTCAGCCTGGTAAGGCAAGGTCAGATGAGCTTCCCAGAGAGGGGCACACGTGAGCCATTTTTACAGGATGAAGGTGTTCGTGGTGGGGGAAACAAGGGGAAATGTAGAGCATTCCAGGAAGCAGGGACAGTATACGCAAAGGTGTGGAGAAGAAAAAGCATGGGGTTTTAAACATATCTAAACAGTATCAGTACACAAGGGTGTTGTGAAGCCAGTATGGGGTGGTGTCTAAGACAAGTAAAGAAACACAAAATGAAGCTGGGAATGCAGGCAGCACATGATTATAAACAGCCACAGCATTTGCCAGAAGTAGATTCCAACTGACTGTTTAGCTTTTCAGTGATGAAGGTAAACATTCTCGTTTTTCTATTAGCTTTGATAAATATACACCTACTCCTCACTTAAGGACAATCTCGTTATCTGATCTTTCGCATTTATTACAATGGTAAAAAATCTACTATCTATTTTGCACATTAATGCCATATATCTGGCAGTAACAAACTCTGAGGTGCAAGGCGAGAGTAATGCCGGCTATGATGGTTAAGGTTATGTGTCAACTTGGCTGGGCCATGATTCTCAGTGTCTGGCAGTTATGTAATGATGTAGTCATCCTTCATTTTGTAATCTGATAGGGTCATCCTCCATTTTCACATAACACTGATTTTCACATAATGACCTGGTCTTTGGAACCTAACCATGTTGATAAGTGAGGAGTGGGTGGGTGTACAAGGCTGCCCTCATACCATGAACACTTAATACTGCCTTTTTGTCCTCTATATCTTGTTTGGGTGGTGATTACCTGGGCAAATACAGTTGTCAAAACTCATCTAAATGAACACCTAATATCTGTGTGTTATATTGTTTATTATAATGATCTTATATTATTATAACATTTGTAACATAATCATACTATATACTAATACGATCATACCTTGGTTAAAAGATTTTTTTGTTTTAAATAATGCCATTCTCTGCTGTACAAATTCTGCGTCATTTTTCATCTTATTTGCTTTCTTCTTAAAAAACCAGAGAACGATACACCTCACTCACCATTGCAGTTGCTAGTCTTGTCTCCTTGTCAGACTTTGGCTTTTTATGAAGGTGTTCAATATCTCGAAGTGAAAGTAACTCACCCCTGGGGTTGAGGAAAAAAATATAATATGAAACAGTTATGGAACTTCCTTCCCCAATATTTTCATTACCATGAGAGCAGAGGGAAGACCTGATGTATGTGCCATTTACCTGGGCTCCTCATCACTGTCTATTTCAATATATTTCCTCTTTTCTGCTTTCCCGGGGGCAGCACTGAGTTCTTTCCTCAGCTGGGCCATGCGGATTTTCTGAAAGTCTTCCTGAGTTAAAACCCGACTAGTGCTGATGGCTGCAGCTTTGGCTTTCCGCTCCTCCACTGGCATGCTGTTTAGCTTCTTGGACTTTAAAGCACAAAAACAAAGGCTTAAGTGGCTACTAGCTCAACTGAGAGCTTAGTCAAATTCTACACTCTAGAAGGACAGCACACACTACAGGGGAAGTCAGCACAACTGAATGAAACCAAACCTAAGAAGTATCCTGAATACAACCAAACACTTCGAGGGACAGAGTAGCAGGGGCAGAGGTCTGGGGACCATGCTTTCAGGGGACATCTAGGTCAACTGGCATAACAAAGTTTATTAAGAAAATGTTCTGCATTCCACTTTGGTGAGTGGTGTCTGCGGTCTTAAAAGCTAGCAAGCAGCCATCTAAGATGCATCAATCAGTCCCATCACACCTGGAGTAAAGGAGAATGAAGAACACCAAAGTCACAAGGAAAGCATTAGCCCAAGACACAGAAACGGCCACATAAACCGGAGACTGCAACAGCCTGAGACCAGAACTAGATGGTGCCCGGCTACCACCAATGACCACCCTAACAGAGAACACAACAGAGAGTCCCTGTTGGAGCAGGAGAAAAGTGGGGTGCAGAACTCAAATTCCAGTAAAAAGACTAGACTTAATGGTCTGACAGAGACTGGAGGAACCCCAGAAAGCATGGCCCCCGGACTCTCTGTCAAGCCAGCACTAAAACCATACCCGAGGCCAACTCTTCAGACAAAGATTAGACTGGACTATGGGACATAAAATGATACTCTTGAAGAGTGGGCTTTTTAGTTCAGGTAGATTCATGAGACTAAACAGGCAGCTCCTGTCCGGAGGTGAGATGAGAAGGCAGAGAGGGTCAGGGGCTGGCTGAATGGACATGGGAAATCAGGGTGGAAAGGAGGAACGTGCTGTCACAGTATAGGGAGAGCAATTAGGGTTACATAACAATGTATGTATAAATTTTTTAATGAGAGACTAACTTGAATTGTAAACTTTCACCTAAAGTACAACAATAAAATAAAATAAAGGAAAAAATGGGGAAAAAAAAAAAAATTCTACCCTCTATAAGGCCCAGCAAAAATGAAGGCTTAGTAAACATCAGAGTGGTGCATTTATAAAATGAAATGTTGAAACTTACAATCTCTTGCTGCTCTTCATCGGAAGAGTGGTGCACGTCAACCCATTCACCATCGGCATCCTCCTCCTCACTGAGACTAGCACTTTCCCACCCATCTGTGTGAAAAAGAGCATGTTATTACTATCACTTTCTGTTGGGTACTCACAGTATGTTGAGAAAAATCAAGCAACAGAAAAGTAAGCCAATGAACCTCGAATAAACTTCTACTGATCAATAATTAAGCAACATCAATTTAATTAACTTAAGGAATGGGGAATAAGCACTGACAAAGTACCTACCAGATGCCAAAATCTTACAGTTTCTCTTAACTCTCACGACTCAACGGAAGAGGAAACAGACTCTCAGAATTAAGCAAACTGTCCTGAGCCACACCGCTAGGATATGCAGCCTACATCAAAATCATGAAAATCACTTCTGACTCCAGAGTCACTGTTCTTTCCAACAAACCAACAAGATCCACCAAATCTGCACTTGTACATTTAATGGTCACACAGCAAGTATTCAACTCGTGTAATCATGTTTATACATTTTCTGTATAAGAAGCCAGTTGGAAACAGTCATTCTGAGTTGATTTTTACATGAAAGAACTTTACAGAAAGTCTCAATAAAAATGTATTAGTGTTCTTAATGGAGCCATGAAAGTAAGCCTTTCTAAATCACAGATAATTACAATCCCTCAGTGGTTTCCCATGATCACATACACAACCCCTCACAATAAGACCACCAACTTATATCTAGTCATCCCACCTTGTAAACTACATTCTAATAGTTCCCTAAATACTTCAAGACTTTGCTCACATTTTGCCTGGAAAGTCTCCACTAGTCTACCATTCTTTGCCAAATGCCTGCCTCATCATTCAAGATATAGTTCATGGCTCACCATCTCTCTGAAGACTTTTTTGAACCTGACTTCCCTCCTGAGCTTATGCCACAAATCCAATCATATATCCTGCAAGCAATTTATCACTCACTTGTTTATGAAAGGTCCTCAAGGGCAGGGACCATATCATTAATCTTTCTATTGAGTGTGGCTGGCACACAGCTAATGCTTAAGAAAGTTATGTTGAAATAATGAATGAATGACTAGAAATAAGACAGGACTCTGACAAATACTGCTAACCTGAAATCAGAATGGCATTCCTCAAGCATTTTTCAATAGGAAGAATTTGGGATGACTGCTCCTAGGACCAACTCTCACCATTTTTCAGGCAACAAAAACAAAATCGTTATCTTTCCCAAGCGCCAAAGAGCATGCCTTTGGTTAGATGCATCAACACCAAAGGACATAAAAGGTATCTCCTACACTTGAAGGTAAGCACCATAAGAGTCGGAATCATGCCCATCTGATCCCCAATTTATAACGCTGCTAGGCATGTAGTCATTGTTCAGTAAATATTAACTGAGTGAATGATTTTTCAAACAGCATCAAGATTTAAAGGTCAATAGAAATACAGGAGTGACTTTGTCCTGAGAAACAGTGCAATAAAAATGAACCTTCATCATTTTCAGCATTCTCTTCCTCTTTCTCAGCTTCCAGAACTTCTGCTCCTGGAATATAATCTTTAGCATCTAATTCTCCATATTCTTGTACTCTTGCTTCTAATGAGGCCTCTGTAGGCTTACCCTAAAGGAAAGAAAATTGTTTATATCAAGATGCTTAGACTGCAAAACATTAATCATGAAAAGGAATTCTCTAGGATTATGAATTGAGAAGGGAGAATCATAAAAAAAATGGAGGAAATTAAATGACAAAAACCCACTTACCTCTTAGATCAAAGTAAATTCCCACAGCCACAACTCTGCTACCCCAATTTCTACTTCTCTTCTGAAATTAGCCATTATCAGAGAATAATTGCTCCATTTTTGTTCGTGTGTGTGTGTGTGTGTGTGTGTTTTAGGTGAAAGTTTACCGTGCAAATTAGTTTCTCATTCAAAAATTTATACAGAAATTGTTCGGTGACATTGGTTGCAATCCCTGCAACGTGCCCTCTCCTGGGTTCCCCGTGTCTATTCGTCCAGTTTTCCTGTTTCTTTCTGCTTTCTTGTCTTTGCTTTTGGGTAGGTGTTGCCCATTTGGTCTCATATACTTGATTGAACGAGAAGCAAGTTCCTCACGTGTGTTAGTGTTTGTTTTAAACAGGCTTGTCTAATCTCTGGCTGAAAGGTGGACTTTGAGAGTGGCTTCAGTTCTGAGTTAGCAGGGTGTCCAGGGGCCATAGTCTTAGGGGTTCCTCCAGTCTCTGTAAGACCAGTTAAGTCTGATCTTTTTGTGTGTGTGTGTGTGTGAATTTGAATTTTGTTCCACATTTTTCTCCCACTCTGTCCAGGACGCTCTATTGTGATCCCTGTCAGAGCGGTTGGTGGTGGTAGCCGGGTACCATCTAGTTCTTCTGGGCTCAGGCTAGTGGAATGTCTTGGCCATCTAGTGCTGCTCTAACAGAAATACCATGAGTGAATGGCTTTAACAAAGAGAAATTTATTTTCTCACAGTCTAGTAGGCTAGAAGTCCAAATTCAGGGTGTCAGCTCCAAGGGAAGGCTTTCTCTGTCGGTTCTGGAGGAAGGTCCCCGTCATCAGTCTTCCCTTTGTCTGGGAGCATCTCTGTGCAGGAACCTCAGGTCCAAAGGATGTGCTCTACTCCCAGCACTGCTTTCTTGGTGGTATGAGGTCCCCAACTCTCTGCTTGCTTCCTTTTCATCTTTTTTTTAAGATAAAAGGTGGTGCAGGCTGTACCCCAAGGAAATTCCCTTTACATTGGATCAGGGATGTGACCTTAGTAAGGGTGTTACAATCCCACCCTAATCCTCTTTAACATAAAATTACAATCATAAAATGGAGGACAACCACACAATACTCGGAATCATGGCACAGCCACATTGATACATACATTTTTTGGGGGGACTTAATTCAATCCATGACACAGAGGCTGTGGTTCATGTGGTCCATTAGTCCTTTAGACTATTATTTTCCTTGCAAATTTGGTTTTTTTCATTTTCTTTTGCTCCAGACAGGATGGGACCAATAGATGTATCTTAGATGGCTACTCACAAGCTTTTAAGACCCCGACACTACTCACCAAAGTAGGATGTAGAACATTTTCTCTATGAACTATGTCAATTGACCTAGATGTCCCCCAAGACTATAGTCTCCAACACTCAGCCCCAACAACTCAGTCCCTCAAGGTGTTCGTGTCTAGGAAGCTTCTATGACTTTGCCTTGGTCAAGCTGTGCTGACTTCCACTATATTGTGCATTGTCTTTCCCTTCACCAAAGTTAACACTCTGATAGTCTACTACCTAGTTAGTGATTTCCCCTCATTGCTCTGATTTTTAAGTCTCCATATCACCATCTCTCTATTGTATATACGTTGCTCCTTCCTCCCAACTAGACCTGGTCAACACTGTCATCAGCTACTGACTGATTCTAATCTCTTAACAATTGACAAAAGCTTTCAACAGGACTACAAGTCTCAGTCATCATTAACAGGCACATGCCAACTGTCATGGATTGAATTGTGTCCCCCAAAAATATGCATCAGTTTGGCTGGGCAATGATTCCCAGTATTGTGTGGTTGTCCTCCATTTTGTGATTGTAATTTTACGTTAAAGAGGATTAGGGTGGGATTGTGTAACACTGTTACTAAGGTGCGATGTAAAAGGAGTTTCCCTAGGGTGTGGCCTGCAAAGGGAAGCAAGCAGAGAGTTCCTGTGTGAAGAAGCTCTTAGTCCAGGGGAAGATTGGTAACAAGGACCTTCCCCCAGAACTGACAGACAGAGAAAGCCTTCCCCTGGAGCTGATGCCCTGAATTTGGACTTTTAGCCTACTAGACTGTGAGGAAATAAACTTCTCTTTGTTAAAGCCATCTATTTGTGGTATCTGTTAAAGCAGCACTAGATGACTAGGACACCAACTACAACTGACACAGTGGTTAGGAGCTTGGCTGCTAACCAAAAGGTCGGCAGTTCGAATCTACCAGCCACTCCTTGGATACCCTAAAGGGCAGTTCTACTCTGTTCTATAGGGTCGCTATGAGTCAGAATTGACTCGATGGCAACAAGTTTAGGTTTGGTTTTTTTTTTGCCAACTACAAAATATTTAAGGCAGAGGTATTATACCAATCAGTTGTCTTCTGAGTTCAAAGAATAAACTTGTGTGCATCACTGGCACTCATAACGGAAGCACCACAACTATTAAAATTCAAATCGCAGGAAATTACTCTTACCTCCTAAGACCACAACCTGTAGATCAACAAGCATACTTCACTTACCCGGAACTTCTTGTGCAACATCTGAGGATTCAGCGTTCGGAAGAGCTGAATCAAAGTTTTAGCAGACATCATCACATCTGTAAAATAACACAATGAATTAGAAACTCCAGAGCAAAGACCATACCAAGGCAAAAATGGGCCTCTTTGGAATACAGAAAGTAACATGCAACTTACTCTTATCTTTGTGCGTTTTATACTGGGCCAGGTCTTGGAGAAGTTCTTCAGTCATGGCCAGAGGACATCGAGCTGTTATCTCTTTTATAGCATTGATACTGGAAAAGGAAAATGAAGTAAGAAAAGGAAAATGAATTAAAAAAAAAAATCTAGCAATTTCATGTGGTTCAACCTAAAAAGGTTTCCTAAAAGGACTAAATCCAAAGGAACACGAGATGGGTTTAATATGGCTTATGTCTCTAAAACTGCAACAGGGTAGAGAATGCATATGTGTGGGGGTGGGGAGCCTTAGAGGGCTTTTATTCCAGACAGTTCACTGCCATTTAGTGCCCAGGACACTAAACTGTGGCAGCATTTACTCTCCATTTCTAAGAGAGAAAGGATCAGGTCAAATAAGAAAGGTTAAAGGTCTTTAGGGCTGTTATGTCAACATTATTATTCAAGGGAGGGGAAAAAAAGCAACTGTTCAGCACTTTACTTAGTTATCCGGACAGCTCAGACAAATCTGAAACCAGTGCTCACACTTGTTACTTTTGAATTAATATAAAGGGCTGCTGAACCAACTTAGTATTAAAAAGTGATTCAACAACAAATCAATTTTTCAGTGGGCGATATGAATTCAGGGTAGCAGATAGGAGAAAAACATCTAGATTGCCAAACAATCATTCACTTGAAAGAGTAAAGCTAGTAAAAAGACAAAGTATCATTTCTCCTGCTCCTTCTTCAAAATTCTGACCAATAAAACAAAAATACCAAGCCTCCTGAGGCGATGGTAGCATATTTTAAATTACTGCTTTTCTAGGGGCCACACTGCCAGGTGAAAATCTCACATCTCGGTAAGTGAGCTCTACTTAAAGCAAACCTAGTGCATTAAAAAAAACAACACATCCACCATTTCCAACCACGTTCTACATACCCTACTGTCATAACTTCGCCAGAGTTCTTGTCAGTAACAAAATTGTTGGCCACAGTCACGAGCAATGACTGGATAATCTGAATTGGGGATAAAAGAAATGAGTGCTGATAAAATGTCCGTACCTGTTCAAATATTTGAGTACGTATTATTTGACAAAATATTTGAGTATATATTATTTGACAATATATTACTCACAGAGGATAAACAGCCCCCAACCTTCAGTTTGGGAGTTGGAAGGAATCATAACTGAGAAAGACAGATGAAAAACACTCCACTGAGGACTCAGTCTTCTTGGCTATCCTCAGACTAAATTTTACTCCCATTTGACATTATTTTTCAATATGGACTTAAAAAAAAAAAAAATGCTTTCACTAGGATAACCCAATACTGTATTAATCAAAGAAAGGAATACTTGGCTTTGAGAAATAATTACTGTAAACTTACTACTCTTGACTTCCCTTGGTCATAAAATTTGCTTATTAAACAAAATCAGAACTCTCAACAAGTTGTCCAAAGCAAACCTTACTTTCTATGGGCTATACAACTGAACTTCTATATATATCTCCTTAAGAGTTAATTCATTTCTATTCACTTAAAAAAAAAAAAAAGGAGAATAATCTCTGTGGGAAAAGTCACCTTGATGTACCTAATGGTGGCATTGTTATTCAGGTACTAGATCCAGAAATAAGGTTTAAGGATGCTCACCTCTGGGGGTACCAGGTGATGAGATGCTTGTGCGGCAAACAGAAGGATCTTTGTTACTTCTGGAAATGTAAGGGAACAGAAAGGTCAAAGTCAGTTTCTCACTCTGCCTCTTAGGACTACAGCAAACATGGCAAGCACATTCCCGCCTCAATGTTATTGCTGCTTACTCCATCTGTAACACCTAACTCCCAGATACCTGTGTGGCTCACCCTCTCACCTCCTTCAGGTCTCTGCTCAATTGTCGCCCTATCAGAAAGGTCTTTCCTGGCCACACAATCTAAAACAAAACCTGCCCCAGCACTCCTTATGACTCCTTATTACACTCCCTATCACTCCCTTACCCTGCTTCCTTTTTCTTCAAAACACTTCTTTTACCTGGACATATATACACAGCTCTCTCTGTATTCTCTCTAGAATGCAAGCTCTGTGAGGGTAAGGACATTTAGGTTCACTGTGGAATTCCTAGTGTCTAAAGCAATGATCAACACAGAAAGCACTATGTATCTGTCGAATGAATAAATACAAATGTATATATACGTACACTCTCCCTTCAAAGAGAGTATAGCGTATATAAAAAACAAGGCCTTTGGCAAAAGAAAGAAATGAGGGTTTGCCATTTATTTGCTGAGTGATCTTGGTCTTTTTCTTTTCTTTCTATACCTCACAGGACTGATGTGAGGACTAGATGAGGTGATGTATGTCAAGCACCTCACACAGTGCTTGGCTCATGTTAGATATTCACTAAACATTAGTTTCCTCCCTACCTTGGTTCAAGTTCAAAGGCAAAAACAACCATCTCTTCTTTCCTGCTTGTATGTTGTTCTTAATTGAGAACATACATGAGGGCAATGAGAACAGTAAGATAAAATCCTGATACCTGTTAGAAAGTTACAGTAAAACTTTTTAAGAATTTTCTGAGTATTTATGGCATTACAAAAGGACTTGATTTGAGGAACCAATTTATTTGTTATTTTCTTTTAAACAACTAACCAATGGCAGACACTAGAAAGAGAACATAACATCTTCTCTCCCTTTCTCTGATACAGAAAGCATGTCAGTCCTAACTCTGTCTTTAGTGATTCCAGAACAAGAGACACTGGATAGTTATTTGAACACCAAGACCACCAAAGGAATGTGGCAAAGTGTGGCTTACCTCTTTGGTGGGGCTGCAGAAACCTTTGAACAAAGGGATAGAAGTTAAAGAGGAAAAGCTGTGGAGAGAATAATACACTGCTTTTAACATTTATGTACTTGTAGCTATGGGAATTTCATTTCTCCACAATGCAATTAATATCACCCAGCTTAACTAACTGGGAATCATTTTGTGTTTTCTCCACCAGCAATTTTGCCCAGGATGATTCAATATGCTGTATTAACCAAGGAAAGGAATTCTCTCTCAAGTGAGACCATGCTGCCTGTACCCATGATATAAAAAAGAAAGTATAAACAGAATAAACTAGGGGGAAGAGAGGCAACCAAAGTGTAATATTCTCCTACTTCTAAAATTGGTATGTCTGCAGAACTGAATTTTTTGTGTTCAAAGACAGAGGGGATTATAGAATAGAACAGCGCTGATATTAAGGCTTGAGAGCAAGAGACAAAATAGTAATTCAGATCTGAATAGTATGGAGTGATGCTCACAATCATGAAAAAGGCCACAGTCCTGGTTTTGTTACTACCTACAGTCCAACCAAATCAGGGGAACTACTCTCCGCTCCATATTTTAGACAGAAAACACTACTGCACTGGAGTCTACCTAGGTAAAGGTGACAAGGGTCCACCAGTCAAGGAACTGGCAATGTTTAACTTCCAGAAGAGAAACTTTAGAGAAGGCTGGTGTTTTTCAAGGGTTGTCATGTGGGAATAAATTATTCTCTTTTAACCACAGAGCAAAACTAGGATGGGCCATTGAGAAGTAACAATGAAGGCTATGGTTCAATATAAAGATGTTCATTTGTGGTCAGCTGTGAAACTCCAGTATCATTTCCATCAAACTAAGCTTAAACTGCAAATCAATTTTGCTTTCCTATCATGCTCAGATTCAGGTCTGAGATGAAATTACTGTACAAACGAAACAAGAACTGACCTAGTGATCCTACTTTGGGAGTACAGGTTTTTTCTTCGAGAAAGGGAATAAGTGCTTTCACTCATGCGTGCTTTTACTTTTAACTTCGCGTATGTTTATATTATTTGATTTTCAATAAACAAGCCTGTTTTACTTATTTATTTTAAAAAATTTTAAAGGAATGTGACGCATTTCATGATGTTCAAAGTAGTACCAATCACAAGAGCAAAGTGACAGGAAGCACTTTCAATGGTCATGTTTTTATGACCTAAATTTTTGTGTGATGCTCTTAGATGTATGCACATATACATCACACACACACACACCCTATACACTACTAAGGAACTCTTGCCATCTAGTTTAATATAAAACAAATGACAGAAAATTCAGCTTTGCAGACATGACAATTTCCAGCTAGAGAGATCTAGAAGTCAGGAAAGCCATGAAGGGTTAAACAAACTGTGAAATGTAACGTTGCTGTGTGCCGTGGAGTTGATTTCAACTCACAGCAACTCATGACAGGCTAGAACTGCCCCCTAGAGTTTCCTAGGCTTTCACCAGGTTTTTTCTCCAGTGGAGTGGCTGGTGGGTTCAAACTGCTGACCTACTGGTTAGCAGCCGAGCGTTTAACTACTGCGCCACCAGGGCTACTTGTGAAACGTTAGTAATAGTTAATGGAAATATGTGCGTTATGCTAGTTCAGAAAAATGTATATATGAAACAAAGTTAAATAAAATAAAAATATTTACTTATTGGAAAGAAAGTGATAAAAGTTACTTTTAGGGTGAGAGATTTTATTTTTCTGTAAACTCTATGGATTTAAAAGGTTGAGGGGTAAAATTAAGCCACTGCTCTACCTAATGACTTTCCTTTTACCAAAGATAATTCTACTTCTAATACTCATCAAGAGAATATAATGTAACTCAAACCTCGTGAATTCCCACCAATCTGGAGATAAGGTTCATGAGCATCATCTTCACTTCAAATCTCTCCTTAGAGCTCTCTAGTTGCTTTAGTAGTTTCTCTGCAAAATCTGTAAGGAAAGTATCAAAGAAGTACACTGTGGGTCCATGGTCTGTACACCATTATGTTACCTAACAGGTGTAGGGAAAGATGTAGTTCATATAGTGACTCTGGTATGGCTGTGCCTGAAATCACTGTGCTGAACCAGGGCAGTAAAAACAGCTACATGACAGAAGATGAAAAGATTCACACACCAGTAAATATACTTTCAATGGTGCCCAAACGTAAGTCTTAAGAATTCTCAATATTAACATCTAGAATGATTGTTGATAAGTGCTCCACTTAAGCAGTTCTCTAAAGCCTCAGGAGCTTGTTAGAAATACAGAATCTCAGGCCCCATTCCAGATCTACAGTATCAGAATTTATACTTTAATAAGATACCAGGTGATTTGTATGGGCATTAAAATTTAACACTGATCTAGAGCAAGAGTGAGCAAGCTTTACTGTACATCAGAGTACAGAGAGCTTTTTAAAATCCTAATAATCAGCCACATCTCATACCAACTAAATTAGAATCTTTGGGGATAACAGGACCCAAACATCAGCATATTTTTATAAATCACTCAGGCGATTCCAATGTGCAGCCTAGTTTGAGAACTAGTATTATACAACAGGGTTTTTGGTTTCCACAGAACAATTAAAAAAAAAAAAAAAGACCAACAAAAGATTGTCAACTTTTTCACTGGTCAAGTAAAATGTCCTACCACTATTGTGTTGTTATAAACATGAATGTCAGATAGAGATGTTCGTCCATATTTTTCTTATTTTGCTGTGGACTAGGAGTCACTGCTTTAGAACACAATTCTCTAGGCTGCAACCAAGTATTAACAAGTAAGCTTTTACTGATTACCTACTATGTGCCAGGGGTGTTACATTCTTTGGCAAAAATGAAGGTAGGAAACTAAATAGTCAGACATGGCCAGCAAGAAACTTAAAAAGTCATAATCATAGTACCTTGGGGATCATGAATCAAGTGAATAGCTGAAAAGTTAAACACCTCTGGTTTTTTCTTCTTCTTATGTTTCTGAAAGGAAAGGAAGAACATTTACATTCTAAATTACAGTGATGATTCCCCAAGGGATTATCAAAGGTGTGCTAAAGGCCGTTCTGAAGTCCACCACACTATTCAAAAAGGAAAACAAATCTTGTTCCAAAAACCTTCCTTTGAATTGGAAAAACTAAAGGTGGTTTTCGTCTTTTAAGCTTGAATCTTGAGAATGTTCCAACTATTAGCACCTGTGAGACTTAAACGGATATGAAAACATACATTAAAAAAAAAAGCACACGGGCCAAGTTAAAGATTTTCAGAATAATCATTATAAAATACCAAATATACTTCATTTATGTACTCTTCTGAGGAGACACGTCTGGCAAAGATATACTAATACAGGCCATCTTGATCAGAACAAGTAAAATGTAAATTAAATCAAATTAATTTATTCAAGTCACAGATTTTGCTAGAGCTGAATAAGTTTATTCACCTGAAATATTAATCACACATTTCTAAGCTTTCAAAAATGCTATTTCAAATTTTTAAAAGCTCCTGCTAATAACCACATACTCTGCATTCTAATGATCCCTACCTCATTCCCCAAGTACAAGTCTCACCCTGAGTACTTTCATAGCCTTTTCCAATTTTTTCTTGTGTTTAGAGCTTTTCTTCCCTGTGGCATACTGCACAAGAAGGTCTCTTGCTGTTGGTCCTTCATCCTAAAGAAGAAATTACTTTGTAAAATCATAACAATGAAAATCTGCATAGAGGCAAAGAGTAATCTTTTTAATCACTTTTTAAAAATGAATACTACCATTAAAATTAAATAAAAACTATCGTACACACAGGTACATGCGAAGATTTTTACCGCAGCACTGATTTTTGTTATGTTTTGCTTTTTACTGAAATAAAACATACAGATAGAATGCAGTCTTGTATTTAATTGAAGAAAGAAAATGGAAACAAATATTTATCAACACGAAAATGTTTAAATGACAGTATACACATTTTAAAATGTTAAAGAATAGGGTACATCTATATGTACAAACAAAAAGATCTAAATCTTTTTATATGTCTATATAAATCTTTAGATCTATAAACAGACTGATATGAAGAAAGCAAGCTGCATAATAATACACATATTATATATATAGTTTTTAAAAACCTAGTACATGCCTAACATTACACATACACACATCATGTAAATACATAGGAAACAAAGTGGTTACCTCTGAGGGAAGTGGAAGTAAGACAGGGCTAAGAAAAATTTTATCTATATTATCTGAAATATTTCACAGTGAGAATGTACTGTTCATACATTATTTAATACAATAATAGTAAAACAATAATAAAACTAATTAAAAGATACTATCATATATTCCAGTATTCTTGTTATCAAAATGCTAAGGTAGGGAGGAAAAAAATTTTTTCTAAATTTCTTGCCTTTAATACTTCCAAGAAATTATGATGATATCATAAATCTTGATTTTTTTCTTTTAAAGCTGTCACGGCATTATTTCCCTCCTTTCCACCACCCTAAACTTCTATGATGTAAACAGACTACCTCAAAAACACGCTGGTAATTTTTATTCTAAATTTATATAGTGAACATAACATTAGAACTAAGAACAAGACTGAATGTATCTATGTTTTATTAGTTACTTAATTAATCTTACTGAATCAAGAGACAAATTCTAAATGGAATACAATCTCACAACATGACAGAAATCAATAAAAGATAATTGTGACATATAAATTTCTAACTTGAGCAGTCATGGATTTAACCATCTGTAATAAAATCTAATAAACTGTAAGAAGCAATAATGGTTAAACTAACCTCGGATTCTGAGTCACTGTCCTGTTTCTCCTCTTCATCCTTCCCTAGGAAGAATGTCAAAGCAGCAACTAATATCTAAAGAGTAATCAGGAAAAAGTCACTTACTTAACCCAGCTTACAATAAATGCTTTTGTCTATACTTTATACATAAGTATGAACGAAGATCAAAAAAGAAAATCAGTGTAGTAAAATTTTAGCTCATTTTTCTTAAAAGAAAATGTTTTTATGTTGTCCCATAAATATGTAATAAAAAAACAGTTTAGCTAGATGAAAATAGCCAAGCTTTACCTAGTTATCCTTCAAAGCAGACTGTCAAGAATTTCTACTTCCCTGACAAGAAACGTGACATTACAGCCCATCTAACAGAAAGGAAAACATAGCCCTTAAATTTTTATCGGCTGTGTCCTATAGGGTCGCTATGAATCGGAATCAACTCAACAGCAACAGGTTTGGTTTTTTGGGTGCCTGACTTTACATTCCTAAAAGAATAAAAGTCAAGGATTACAGGGGAATTAATGAGAAACTAATCAGCTCTGTAAACTTTCACCTAAAGCACAATAAAAAAGAAAAAAAAAAAAAAAAAGAACTATGGGGAAAGCACAAAATCTAAACATTAAGGCTGTTATTTAGCACACAGCATTTTAAAAACTCTTCATGATAATTGTTTGACTCCTCTAAAGCAGAAATGAAATCAGGGAATCGTTTGACTCCTCTAAATGCACAAATGTAGCATTACTAAGCACAAAGTACATGTCCACACAATACTTCTTCATCACATATCCATCTCCTTCATGTTCTATGTCACACAGAAGGACTAACAGTTCTCACACAGTCCTACATGAGCTCACCTTGGTGACCTTAGAGAAACATGCAGTTGTGATAACATTGACAGTTTTGGCATCATTCCTGGGGGAAGACAATGATTGTTTTTAAACAAATCTCCATTTTTACTGCATAAGCAATAGCATAAAACAGACGACATAACATATATCTCTAACACGTTAGGATTCAGAATAGTAATATTTGTCAAAGTTATGGGTTGTTAACTAGTCAACCACAAGCTGCTTGATTTCAATTTCAGCCCAGTCTTATGTATGTCAGAAAATTATGGAGTCATTAATACAGAATTTTTGAAGAATTTTTAATGACACAAGAATTAATGAAGTTAACGGGGGGGTGCAGAATAAGAAATTCTAATATAGTATAGCAAAATTTCAACTGTATTTTAAAATGCACATTAAAAATACCAGGAAGAAATACTATTAAAAAAATTTACAGTCACATCTCTGTGGTGGAACTATCAATATTTAAAAACAAAAACCGGAAAAAAAAAAAACTTTTCTAGCTTCTCCAAGTTTTCTGCTGCAATGAAGAAACATTATTTTATGGTTAAAAAAAAAACAGCTAATGAGAGAAGCAAAAGACATAAGTTGGTGATACTATACCAACAAATGAAAGTTTATAAAATATGGTATTTTACATACGTAAGACTTGAAAATCTTGAGTGACAGAGTAGAAAGAGCATAGACTTTGGAGTCAGAGATCTGGGTTTGAATTTCAGAACTGTCCCTTACTAGCTACTAAACTTAAAAATCTATGAACTTCATTTCATTACCTATTAATAATTCCACATAAGATGCATTACACTGTTTTGAGGGTTGAATGAGGTAATATGAAGTCCCTGGCCTCAGGAAATGGTAGCCAATGTTATTAGCCATTTGGATTACTTCTGTATTTTTATTTCCAACTTAGTCTATGACAGAGATATTACAGAGATCAAGTATTTCTGTATGTGTTCTGTGTTAATTACAAATGAATAAAATGATCTACTTCTTAATAAATACATGTATTTTACCAGATGTTTCTTCTGTAGAGTTCAGTCATCACATCCAAAGATATCTTGGCTGCAGTCGCATTGCTGTCTCTTAACATGGTGTACATGAAATTTTGCAATACCTGAAGAAAAACAGAGAGGCTTAATACACTGATGGTACAACACTGCAAACATGGAAAACAAAAGGATACTTACTATATTTACTTTATTGTTCTTGTGTTTTGCATTTATGTTCTTGACATCAGTCACAATATGAGTGTATAAAGTCTGAGGAAAAGAAACAAAAGCATATACACATTAAGCCTAACCAACATTTCTAATCCTGTTCAATTTGGATGAATATAAAAATATTCAGGATGATTTAATTTTACTTACTTTTCATTATACCACCAAACGGACCAAAGAAACCCCCCAAAACAACAAAAACAAAAAAGGCAGTTAAAAAGCAAAAGGAAAGTTGACCTCAAAAGATTAAACATTAACGGGCACTGAGTCCCTGTTAAGGGTAATGGAAAAATTTGGAAACAAAATAGTGGTGATGGTTGCACAACATGGTGAACGTAATTAACGTCCCTGCATTGTACATGTGAAAATGGTTTAGAGGTGGCAAATGATTTAGTATACATATTGCACAACAACAAAAAGGTTAACTATAAAGTTACCATATAGCCCAGCTTCCCTACTCATAGGTATATACCCAAGAGAACTGAAAACATATGTTTATCCAAAAACTTGTATATGAATGGTCATAGCACTATTATTCATAATAGCCATAAAGTAGGAACAATCCAAATGCCCATTAACTGATGAGTGGATAAATAAAATGTGGCATATTCATACAAGGAAATATTATCCAGCAGTAAAAGGAATGAAGTACTGTACTGATGAATGCAACAACATGGATGAACCTTGAAAACATTATGTTAAGTTAAAGAAGCCAGTCACAAAAGATCATATAATATATAATTCCATTTATATGAAATATCCAGAATAAGCAAATCTATAGATACCAAAAGTAGATTCGTGATTGTGTAGGGCTAGAGGAGATGGGGGTTGGGGGAGTGACTGCTAATGAATATATAGGGTTTGTTTTGGGGGGTGTGAAAATGTTCTAAAACTGATTGTCGCGATAGTTTTAAAACTCTGTGAATATACTAAAAATCATTACACTTTAAATGGGTAAATTGTATGTGAATTATATCTCAATAAAGCTGTTATTAAAAAAAAATGGAAGTTGTTGCATTTACCTACTACATGCAGGATGATTCTGCGAATATAAATATCAGTGGTGCCCAAATTATGTACCTGTGGACCACTTTTACTCCACAAGATAAACAAAGAAATACAACTACTAATATCAAATGGTGATAGTCTCTCAATACTTAGAAAAAAACATTTAAGCTAATGAATGCAAACTTAAGTTTTTCTTAAATTTCTTTCATAAACCTTCAGCTTCTGGTCTTACTTGTATAAAGAAATACAAAGCAATAGGGAAATATTAACAAAAAAGTTAGTTTTATTTGAGGGAAGGGGAGGCATAGGTATCAACTGTCCATGCTGATTTAGCCAGTCAGTACAGTGCACTGGTAAAGGGTTTCAGTTCTAGAGCCAAAGTGAGTTTATTGCCCAGTCCCACCACTTAGAAGTTGTGTGACCTTGAGCAAGTTACTCTATCTCTCTCTGCCTCAGCCTTTTCATCTGTAAAGTGAGAATAATAATACCACCACCTATCACATAGGGTTTTGTGAGGAGTAAATGAGTTAATACTCAAAAGCTCTTGGAATGAATGGTGTTTGGCACAAAGTAAACACGCAATAAATGTTAGCTATTATTATCATATTGCATGCACAATGATAAATTTTTTTCCTTTTAAAATTCTTCTTAACTATATCCAACAATATAAACCATCAAGAATTCAAGGGACTCCAAAACTCTTGAAGTTTTAATGTCACTACAAGAATGAGATACAAGAAAAAAAAATAATTTTGGTCTTTACCTTTCGCAGAAGCTTATCATGGCAACGCAGAAGTTCAAAGAAGAGCTCTAGCAAACTTGATGGATTGATGAGATTCTTATTTCTCAGCAAGATCAAAGCTTTGCAAAATGTCTCAGGAAGAAAAAGAAAACATACTATAAGATAATGATAGTTAAGATGAGAAAATAGAGTATGTGTATCCCAAAAGAGTTTTCTACTTGCTAGGCATTATTCTAAGCATTGAGCAAAATAGTCTGCACTCATGGAGTTTACACTGGGGGTGGAGCAGAAGAGGGGACAGACAAGCTAGTAAACACATAAACAAGATTATTTCAGATAATAATTGTCATGAAGGACGTAAAACAGGGTAATATGATCGTTAAACAGTGACTTTATTAGGGGACCCTAGAGGCTGAAGACACCGAATTAATTAGTACTCCGTTGGTTATCAGACCACATCTAGTCACCACCCGCATTACGTCGCTCACTTCCTCTAAGTTGTTCTGCAGACCCTCTGGAGAGCCCGGGACAGGTCCAGATCTAACCGGTTCAGACTGGTCAGACATGCGCAGAACAAAGATGACTGACAGACAACCCCGGGTCGCCACGCATGCTCAGTAACACAAGAGAACTCATGTCAAGGAACCAAAAGACTCATATCAAGGAACCAAAATCACTGAATATACGTCATCGGCAGTAGCCAAGCCCATTTCAAAAGCTAAGAGTCCGTGGGCCACTTCTGGGCCAAGTCTTAGCCCCCACTTCCTAATAAATAATCAATAGAAACTGTGAATAGTTAAAACTTTCTGACCTTGCCCACCGCCTTTCTCCACCCCTATATGAATATGTATAAGTATAAAATGTGATTTCTCACTCAAATCGAGGAACTCAATCTGAGGTCGATAACTGAGTTCCTGCTTGCTAGCCTGCGAAATAAACTTTCTTCCTCTCAAAATCAGTGTCTGAGAGATTGGCTTCTTGCATGCTGGGCACGGACCCATTGGTACTGTTTCCACTTTATACAGGGAGGACAAAGAAGGCCTCTCTGGGAAGTGTCACATAGGACAAAACTCCAATGAGCAATGAATTCACAAGATAAGAAAGGTGGGGCATCAATCATATAATACACTAAATTGGAATAATTAACGTGAATTTGTGACCCTAAATTTAAGGCATTAATTTGAAGTACTCTCACTACTAAGAGTAGTCCACCAGGAAATGCAGCACTAGTCTCACTGAGACAGAGCCCCCACAGAAAATCCTGTTTTCTTTGCTTGGCTTCCTCCCCTACAGTGTTGTGTTAAAAATCCTGTTTCCTTTGCTGAGCTTCCTCCCACCCAGCTTTGCATTTAAATACTGATTTTGCCTGGCAGTTATATGTAAACCCCACTGCACCTGCACAGTATGATTAAGAACATTGCTGACACAACCTGTATGAACTCCCTACTTGTAAACCCCTTAAAAGCAACTTTTCTCGTGTCCTCGGGGAGCAGTCTTGGCGGCAGCAGCTCTGACTGACTCCTTTAACTTGCACAACAAAATAAAGGTGCCTTTCCTGTTCTCCCACCTTAGTCTCTCGTTTATTGGCCAATGTGAGTCATGCCAAGCAAGAACGTGGGGTTTCCACCCAGTAACATCACATGTACACCTACTACCCAAAATGATATTTTGGCCTCTAATATTATTCCTCATTAAATGGCACATGCAATCCTTGGAGAAGAGTTAATTCCATATCTTGGGGTAGAAAAACAGTAAGAAACTATTTTTGCCAGAATGCAAGAATGCTTTCAAAAACATCAATGACATTGCTAAAAGGGCTAAGAAGCGCCAATTGGCCAAGGTGTGACAATTTGAACATAAAAATAATAAAAATAACAATGCTCAAAAACAAGCTAACAAAAACTACATAAAAAGGTAGTTGCACTGCCAAAGAAAAATAAATATAAGTTCAATTTTTGTTGATTAAGTAAGAATTAACACACGTGGATATTTTGTTTCTTCCTCTAAGAAATATAATCTGTTTCTAGCTGTGGAGGAAAGAAAGAATGAACAAAAACTTGGAATGAATCAAAAAGTCCTGGATAAAACAGCAACTACCTTAGGCAGAAAGAAAGCCTGGCAGTTACGAATTGTGGTTATCGCAATAGCCAATTACAAAAAGGGTCCATCAGTGTGTTCCAAATGATTCCTCTAAAGAGGAATGCTAATTACACAGCCTCATCCCTCTTCTCCTAGGAAAGAAAATCTCTATTCATTTTTTAAAAAATATACTAATCATCATAAAACACTAAAAAGAAAGACGCACAAACATTTACTTGGTCAGTTGGGTTAGGTGCTGCCAGCCATGCAAAAGTTAGTGAAAACAAAAACAAAAAACCTAACTACTCGGAAATAATTTAAAAAATATAATCGTTCATCTGTATGGCCTAAGTGGACTTGGAGAGTTACATAACATATATAAAAGCCTTCTGACTAATGGCTCAAGTTTGAATCCCCTTAGGCTATGCAGCCATGTCCCATGTTCCAACAGAGTCAATCAGCTGACAACCCAGAGCCTGCAACTTTGCCTTGTCTGAGATTGTCATTTTTCTTTTGGACCTAATGAAATTAACAAAATCCTAGAGAAGCATAAAATGGCAGAATTATCAAAAGACTGGGAAAATATAAGTAGAAGAAACAAAGTTGAATCTATTTTACAAGTTTTGGTATAGGATATCAGTTTGTTTTGTAATCATAATATTTCTACTAAGTTCTACTTGCTGTGAAGGTGTTTGAAAAGCAGAAGCATTAAACCTGAAAATGCCTTAGATCAGGTTAACTACCAGTGATCTGTTGGGGGTGTGCTCTCAGAAGGGAAGTGAAGGAAGGCAGGATAGAGCAGAAAAAAGCTAAGCAAGGCTGTGTCCTTGGCAGCAGACTAGCTTTAGTGAGATCCTACAGGGAAGCTGTAGGGCACAAAGTGCACCAAAGAGTTAGAGTCCCATCAGCAACAGGCTGGGCTTTTGTATCTTTCAGTTGGTCAGTCATTGGCTGTAGGTTGTGAGAGCAACCTCCCAGGTGGTAGGAATCCCATTTGGATGAGGGCAATTCTTCAGAGAAGGACAGTGGGCCATTAGCAGCCAGCGTTCAGAGCACGTGAGGGAAATGGGCGCAAGGGCCTGGTAGGGGATCTAGACCAGGAACCAACATCAAACACAGAGGTAATCAACATTTAAATGCTCAAACTGGCTGTTTCATGGATAAGTTTATTAAATTAAGCATTATAAAAACTATTAAGTTGTAATCACGCTCTTCATGCAGATGGATTTGAAATACTAGAAAGAATCACCTATTCCAAAGAAGGGGAAGAGCCTCCCTGCAGCGTTAACATGACGGAAGACAGCAAGATTAGTGAGAGGAGAGTGTGGTAGAAAAGGGGGAGATGGAAGGAGATGAGATCAGAAACACAGGCAGGAAGGAGATCATGTAGGGACTTACAGGCCATGGTAATAAGTTTGAGTTTTATCCCAAGTATGAGAAGCCACAGAAGGATTTTAATTTACATTTTTAAAAGGTATCCGGCTAAGGGTATTCTCATTTAAACACATATCACACACACACATGAACATGGCAGAATTTACTAATCCAAATACTGGACCTACCATTCGAAGATCAGGATCCAACACAGTGTGATTGTAGGAGAGCAGATCTTTCAGTTCCTGAGGAAAGTTACTTAGATGCTCTGGGTAGCAGTGCCCAACCTGTAACAAAGCAAAGGCTCTTCTGAAGTTTCTAAGTTATTCAGATGCACATATTTAAGATGTTCTAAAAAAGGAGAACAGATGGTCCCAAATTACCTTTTTCTTCTAAATTTTAGTTTCTCCAACTCCTCTCATGTTTCCGCTAAGTAAAATACTCATGACATGATTTAGAACTTGCTTTTATGAAGAGTTTGAAGAAAACAAAGAGTTTGAAAGCTTTGCTCTGGTTGGCTCTGTGAAAGACTCCAGAGAAATCCTCTTACTTACCACAGAGAGAAAACAGAAGTTGCAAAACAGGAAACTTAAATTATTTTTAGTTAAGTTTCCACTCAAGAGTGGAACGAAGGTGAGTACTACTGAAAAAATAGTCTGCCAACTGTGTGCAACAAATTGGTCTTTGTTTATTCAGAAGTTTTTTCTTACCTGTGCCATAAACATCACCAGCTCTGCCAGTTCTTTGCTGGGTTTATTTGGTTGTAATTTAAAAATCTCCACGTTGGATTTATAGTGATTATACTGCTGTATAAACTGTGGAAAAATAAAATTTAAGTGTGTCACATTTTATTATATGACTTTGTCAATAAAGAATGAAAAATTACTTAGAAATCTTTGACAGTGGCACGGTAAAAAAATATGGCAAAAGAATACAGAACCACTACCTTTTCCTGATCTGCACGCTTTAAAATGAAAAGCACATCACAGATAATCTAAAGATCCTTTCCTTAGAATTATCATCAGACATTTAGGTGATATGATATACACAACAGTGAAGCAAAAGTGTTTAGTATATTCACAAACTTATGCAACTATTACCACTAATTCTAGAACATTTCCACTACCAACCCCTCCCCCATTAAAAAAACCCTACCCATTACCAGTCACTCCCTAGTCCCGTCTCCCTCCAGCCCTGGCAACCACTAATTTACTTTCAGTCTCTACGGACCTGCCTATTTTGGACATTTCATATAAATGGAATCATACCCCAATTGCTTTTAAGCCTACTGCACCCACTTCTCTACCTAAACTGCTCATATTAGGGTAACCAATAACATTCATGTTGCTAAATTTAATGGCCAGTTTTCAGTACTTATTTAATATGACTCATCAGCACTTGACATAGTTGGTCTCTCCTTCTCCCTGGAAACACCTTACTTGGCTTCCAAGACACTACCTAGTTTTCCTCTTACTTCATGCTCTGCTTTCTCAGGCCCTTTTGCTGGTTACTCAGTAGCTCACTAAAGTCTAAACACTGGGCTACCCCAGGGTTTTCTCTATCTACTACATGCAGAATCTAATCACTTCTTCACCTCCACTGTTACCAACCTGGTCCAAGCTACCATCATCTTTGCTTGGATGGATGCAATAGCCTAACCGGTGTCTCTGATTCTATCTTTGTCCTCCTACATAGTCTCTCAAAACAGGCATCCAGAGTGATTCTGTTCTCATACAAAGAAGCTCTAAAAGCTTCCCATCTCATTCAGTAAAACTTTAAGCTCTTAAAAATAGCCTGGTTCTACAAGATCTGACCCCATCTCACATTCTATTACTTTCGCCTTTCCTGATCCCCCATCTCCAGCCATACTGCCTTCTTTAATGCTCCAGACACCTACCAGGCATATTCCTGTCTCAGGGTCATTGCATCTGCTATTCCTTTGGCCTAGATTGCTCTACCCATATATTTGTACAGCTCTCCCTCACTTCCTTCAGGTTTTTACTCAAAGGTTGCCATCTCAAGGTCTCCGCTGACTACCCCTTTTAAAACTGTAAGACGTTTTTCCCCTACATACACACCAGCACTTTCCTACATTATTTTTTTTCCCATAGCACTTAACATCATCTGACATACTCTATATTACTTTCAGATTCACCAGGCGCTCCTTGGAAACCCTGTGGGGCAGTTCTACTCTGTCCTATGGGGTCGCTATGAGTCGGAATCGACTTGACGGCAACAGGTATATTACTTTATGACTACAGTTGTGGAAAGAGACGATAGAAAAGTTCAATATCATCAGTCAGAACAAGGCCTGGGGGCCAACTGCGGAATAGACCATCAATTGCTCGTATGTAAGTTCAAGTTAAAGCTGAAGAAAATTAGAACAAGTCCACAAGAGCCAAAATAAGACCTTAAGAATATCCTATCTGAATTTGGAAACCATCTCTAGATTTGATACACTGAACACTAATGACCGAAGACCAGACAAGTTGTGGGAAGACATCAAGGACATCATACATGAAGAAAGTAAAAGGTCATTAAAAAGACAAGAAAGGAAGAAAACACCAAAATAGATGCCAAAAGAGACTCTGCAACTTGCTCTTTTATGTACAGTAGCTAAAACAAAAGGAAGAAATGATGAAGTAAAAGAGCTGAACAGATTTCAAAGGGCAGCTCAAGAAGACAAAGTAAAACATTATAATGAAATGTGCAAAGACTTGGAGTTAGAAAACCAAAAGAGAAGAACACACTCAGCATTTCTCAAGCTGAAAGAACTAAAGAAAAAATTCAAGCCTCGTGTCACAATTTTGAAGGATTCTGTGGGCAAAATACTGAATGACACACGAAGCATCAAAAGCAGATGGAAGGAGTAAACAGAGTCACTATGAGAAAAACAATTGGTTGATGTTTAACCATTTCAGGAGGCAGTATATGATCAGGAACCGATAGTGCTGAAGGAAGAGGTCCAAGCTGCCCTGAAGGCACTGATGAGAAACAAGCCTCCAGGAACTGACAGAATATGAATTGAAATGTTTCAAAAAACGGATACGGTGCTAGAGGTGCTTACTTGTCTATGCCAAGAAATTTGGAAGACAACTACCCAGCCAACTGACTGAAGAGATCCACATTTGTGCCCATTCCAAAGAAAGGTGATCCAACAGAATGCAGAAATTATTGAACAATATCATTAATACCACACACAAGTAAAATTTTGCTGAAGATCATTCAAAAGCAGTTGCAGCAGTACATCAACAAGAAACTGCCAGAAATTCAAGCTGGATTCAGAAGAGGACATGGAACTGGGGTTTCATTGCTGATGTGAGATGGATCTTTGCTGAAAGCACAGAATACCAGAAAGATGTTTATCTGTGTTTTAGTGACCATACAAGGGCATTCAACTGTGTGGATCATAACAAGTTATGGATAACATTGTGAAGAACGGGAATTCCAGAACACTTAGTTGTACTCATGAGGAACCTGTACATAGATCAAGAGGCAGTCATTCGAACAGAACATGGGGATACTTTGTGGCTTCAAGTCAGGAAATATGTGCCTCAGGGTTGTATTCTTTCACCACACTTATTCAATCTGTATACTAAGCAAATAATCCGAGAAGCTGGACTACATGAAGAAGAACGGGATGTCAGGATTAGAGGATTAACAACCTTCTTTATGCAGATGACACAACTTTCTTGCTGAAAGTGAACAGGACTTTCTGATGAAGGTCAAAGATCACAGCCTTCGGTATGCATTACGCCTCAACATAAAGAAAACAAAAATCCTCACATCTGGACCAAAAGAAACATCATGATAAATGGGGAAAAGATTGAAATTGTCAAAGATTTCATTTTACTTGGATCCACAATCAACACCCATGGAAGCAGCAATCAAGAAATTGAAGGATGCATTGCATTAGGCAAATGTGCTGCAAAAGACCTCTTTAAAGTCTTAAAAAGCAAAGATGTCACCTTGCAGACTAAGGTGCACCTGACCCAAGCCATTGTGTCTTCAATCGCCTCATGTGCATGCAAAAGCTGGACAATGAATAAAGAAGACCAAAAAAGAATTGATGCCTTTGAGTTACGGTGCTGGCGAAGAATATTGAATATACCATGGACTGCCAAAATAAGGAACAAACCTGTCTTGGAAGAAGTATGGCCAGAATGCCCCTTGGAAGCAAGCATGGTGAGACTACGTCTCACATACTTTGGATGTGGTATCAGGAGGGATCAGTCCCTGGAGAAGGACATCATGCTTGGCGAAGTAGAGGGTCAGAGAAAAACAGAAGACCCTCAATGAGATAGACTGATATAGTCGCTGCAACAACGGACACAAGCATGACAACAATTTTGAGGATGACGCTTGACCAGGCAAGTGTTTCATTGCGTTGTATACATAGGGTCGCTACGAGTCAGAACCGACTATACGGCACCTAAAAACTAACAACAGATAGCACTGTCATCTACCCAGATGCTGAAATAAAAAGCCTGATTCAGTCTTCATGCCTTTTTTCTCTCATCCTCCACATTCACTCCACCAGAAAGTCCCAAGTTTTACCTCCATGTAGAGCTAGTCCCAATCTGTCCACTTCTCTCCACTCCCACTGATAATCCTAGTAGTACCACCATCTGTTGCCTGGACTATTCCAATAGTCACTATTTAATTACCGTGCTCCCAGTCTTGCTCCCCTACAATCCATTCTATATAGAGCCCCCAGAGTAAAGTTTTAAAAATATAAATCAGATCATACCACACCTCTATTAAAAGCTTTAACAGCTCCCTAATGCACTCAGAGTAGAATCTAAACTACTTACCATGGTCTCAAAGGCCTTGTATGACCTGACCCCTACCTGCATTCTCCACATTATCTCCCACTACCCTCTTCCATGCTCACTATGTTTTAGTCACACCGGCTGCCTCTTTTTTTCTTTCCCACCATGAGCTTCTGTGCTTCCTTACTCCCTCTGTCTGGGATGCTCTTGACCTGTCTGGCTCAATACTATCATCACAGAGAAGTGTTCCCTGTTCGTAGGATTTAAATCAGCAGCCTCCAAATCTAACATATTCCCATCCAGTTTTTTTTTCTTCATAGTCCTTAGCGCTTTAAATCTACCCTCACTAGAACGTAAGTCCAAGATAGTAAGGCTCTCATATCTGTCTTACTGTTTATCACTGTATCCCCAGTGCCTAGAATTACACCGACACACAGTGAGGGCGATATATGTGTATTTGTATATGTATTTGTTAAGTGAATGAAAGAGCAACCCTCTGTGGTAAGTACTACCTCCTTCTTTTACATATTACAATAGACACACAGGCTCAGTGATTAACCTACCGAGGTTACACAATTGTTGAATAGAGATCCAGGATTTAGGGTTATTCTGAAGCCAGTGCTCTTAAATATAGCACTACATGGCATCTCAACTTATTACTTTGTCAATGGTTGTATAATGCTTTACACATCTCAAAACCTTGCCTATATTGCTTAATTTCTTGTATTTGTTCCTTACTCTCTATTTCCACTGCCTTGATCCTTAACAAGGCTCTCTCTACTGAGGACCTAAACCACTGCAACCCTATTTGTAAAAACCATTCACAGAAAATTTTCTATGTCAAAAATCTGGGGGAGAGGAAAAGTGAGAAGGCAATTAAAGGATGGGTAAGAGTGTTAGCCATTGAAGAAATC